TTAAGCTATTATACTATCACCTCTATGTACACTACACAAACACATGTAAATCAGGAGAAAAATATTTCTTTAAATGAAATTAATGAATGTTGTAGTACATGTTTGATTTTTAGAATATAATCTGGTATTTTTCTGGTTCAGAGATGGCAAAACCCCCTATTGAAAGGAGTAATTCATGGGGGCAAGGGGAGGGACTTCTGGTGGCAAAGGTCAGGGGTTAAGAGGCAGGACTTCCAGTCCTAAGATGGCGACCAGGAGGTGGGGTAGCTGTAAAGGGGCGGAACTACCCATGCAGCCCTTGATGGTTTGCAAAACTCAGTAAGCAGCCCTCCACCCAAAATAATTGACCACTCCAGTCTATACTGTTTTCAGTAGTGGCAGATGACAGAACAAGCAGCAATGGCCTCAAGTCACAGCAAGTGAAGTTTATGTTTGATATTAGGAAAAACTCTTGTTTGAAGGGTAGTAAAGCACTTGAGCAGATAAGCCATAGAGGTTGTGGAACCTCCATCCTAAGACACAGCTAGACAAATCCTTGCCTGGGATGATTTAGCTGGGGATGGTCTTGCTTTGTGCAGGCGGTTGGACTGGATGATCTTCCAACCCTAATTTTCTATGATTCTATTAACATGTTTTGGTTTACTCCACAATCAGCAGCAGAGTTCTCTGGCACCTTAAACTCTTTTCCATCTCTCAGCTTTATAAATCTTTCATGTGCTTAATGTTCCACCTAGAATCAGAACTATTAATCTGTTGTTTTAAGGTAAAAAAAGGCACAGATCTAACTTTGGGCACATTATGTGTATGGGTACAGGCAAGTTGAGCCTAAAGCACTTGTAAGATAGGAAAAAAACTCTGTTTGGAGAACACTTGACACAGATACAGTTGGTAATTATTTTTCAGAATTTCAGAGACTGAACTCTTAGTATTTCCACACCCTGTGTGAAGACTGATAAGACATGGTCTACATCTTCGTAAGTTCTTCAAGAAGTCCAAAAGCTTTAAAGCTAAGAATTTTCTTTTTCTCTGCACATTACCATAGAAGATTGTTTTTCCTGCTGATTAAGTTACAAAACAGGTTTATTGAAAGTGTTTCTTACTGAATAGTTAAACTGGAAAAAATAGTAATAGCTAGTACAGGACTGTTTTAAAAGGCTTTGGCTAGGTTCCAACATCTTGTTCATACAAAGTATTTCGCTCCAGGAACAGGCCTTCTGAAACCAAAAGCAATTCAGAATCACTTCTACTTGCTTTTCAAGATGAATAGGAGTTGAGAGTCTAACTGTAATTCAGAAGGCAGAATCTTAGCTATAGAAATACACACACACACTTAAACTGGTTCATAGGATCATAGAAAAAGGGCTGGAAGATCATCTAGTCCAGTCCGCTGCTCAAGGCAAGATCATTCCTGACTAAACCCATCCCAGCCAAGTGTCCTTCTATTTGCTCTCGAAAGTTTCCAAGCACCGAGGTTTCACAACTTATCTAGGTAGCCTGTTTCAATGCATGACCACTCCCATACTCCAAGTTCTTCCTAGTCTCCAGCCTAAATTTTCCCTGCTGCTGCTTGAGGCCATTGCACCTAGTCCTGTCCTTCAGTCACAGAAAAAAGGCCATCTCTATTCTCTCTATAATCAACCTTCAGATATTTGAAGACTGTTATCAAATCCCTCACTTCCCCCAATCAGTCCTCTCTTCTGCATAAGCCTTTCCTCTTTCAGCATTCCCTCATAAGTCTTGCCTAAAAGCCCTAATCATTATTGTTGCCTTGCACTGGTCTCCAAACTCTCCATGTCCTTCTTGAAGCATGGGACTCAAAACTGGAAACAGTACTCCAAAAGAGGCTTCACCAGTGCTGAACAGAGGAAGAATCACTTCCCTTAATTTGCAAGTTAATACAAGTATGCAGTTTGTTTTTTTGGCAACAAGAGCACACTGTTGGGCTTTTATTCATTTTTAGTCCACTGTAACCCCTATAACCTTCTCTGCAGTACTGGATCCAAGCCAGTTATTCACCAGTCTGTATTTGTACTTGCAGTTATTGTGACAAGTACAAGACTTTGCACTTGTCCTTGCTGAATCTCATCTCATTGATTGCAGACTATTTCTCTGCAATCTGGTCCCTAGCCCTATCTTTCAGAGTGTCTGCAATTCCATCCAATTTGGTGTCATCCACAAATTTGCCAAGCATGCACTCCATCCCATCATTCAAATCATTAATGAATGATGTTGAACAATACCAGACTGAGGACAGACCCCTGGGAAACACCACTTGATACCTCCTTCTAGCTAGACATTGAACCATTGAGGACTAGTTGCTGAGCACAATGATCCAAACAGTTATGTATCCATCTTACAGTACTTTTGTCTGGTCTGCATTTCCTTGCTTGTTAATGAGGATGCTGTAGGAGACAGTGTCAACAGCATTGCTAAAAATCAGCATATACCATAACCACTGCTCTCCCCTCATCCACAGACTGTGTTATTTTATCATAGGAAATCAGATTGGTCAGGCATAACTTGCTCCTGGTGAATCCATGTGGCTCTTCCTGATCACCAAGTTCTTCTCCAAGTGTTTCACCACAGATTCTCTGAGCCCCTGCTCCATGATATTTCAGGGTATCAGTGTCAGGCTGACTGGCCTGTAGTTCTCTGGATCCTCATTCTTCCCTTTTTTTTTTTTTTTTTTTATATTTGTCCTCTTCCAGTCATCTGGGACCTCACTCGACCTCCAAAAGTTCTCAAAAAGCCAAGTCTGAAATTAATCTCAGCCAATTCCTTTAGTACCCTTGGGTTCATCCTGTCTGGCTCTGCCAACTCAAAAGCATCCAGCTTTTGTAAGTAATCCCTAACCTGGTCTGCCATTACTCTAGGCTGCTCATCTCCTTCCCTACCTCTGCTTCCAACCGCACTTATGAAGTAGTAGCTGTCCCTATTTGTGAAAGCTGAAGTAAAAAAAATCATTAAATACTTCAGCCTTCTCAGCACCACCTGTGACTAGATTGCCTTCTACATTCTGTAAGGAACCCCTGCAATCTCTGGTACTCCTTTTGCTCTTGAAATACTGAACTTGCAGAATCCCTTTTTCTAGTATTTTATGTCCCTTACCAGCTACATCTCAAAAGTGCTTTGGCCTTCCCAATTTCCTCCCTGCATGCCTGTGCAATAGTTTTATACTCTTCCCCGGTACTATGACCAAGTTTCCACTTTTCATACGATTCCTTTTTGAGATTCAACTCCTTGAAGAGGAGATCACTGTCTAGCAAGGCTAGCTTCCTGTTGCACTTTCCACTGTCCTTATTCTGGTGCTCTCCTTCCCTCCTCACCCCTTGGATTTTGAACTCCTATCATTTCATGGTCACTGTCACTCAGGTTACTTTCGACTTTCACAGTCTCAACCAACCCTCCCCGTTTGTGAGCAGCAAGTCAAGAAGAGCATCCCCCTTGCCTCCACCACCTGAATCAAAAAGTTGGTTAGCTTCGTTTTCCAGTAAATGAAAATAAAATACTTGAGTAAATCTCTGAAATAAAGATACTGCATTCAATTATAATGGGCTTTAATAACCTTGACATTTTGGGGAAAAAAAGTCACAACAGAATCTCCACTGCTGCTGCTGTAGTCTAACCCCTGTAAGAACCAGAACAATCCATTATTACAAAGCTTTCATTAGGCCAGGTTAGGGATTGTAAACTCATAACTCCACACCATTAAGAATTTGGCCAAAAGTCTTCCCTGCATTTTAGAGAGAAAAATATGTTCAATATTGTATGGAAGCATTTGAGCTATTTTGCCAATTTGACTATTCTATATTATTGATGTTGCCTGTAAATTATCCCAAACACTTCAGCAAAAAGAGTGGAAAAGTTTTTAAATAACATTAAATTGCAACATTTGAGATTTAAGTGTGAAATTGTGACCCTCTGGGTATTTTTCATATGGTCTACAGCAAATATGGCTTAACTTTTCAAGTTTAGCATAAAAAAGAGCTGCCTATATCCTGTTCTGCACCAGTTACTACATAGCAATAGCTGAGGTTTATCAAGTTTGTGGTAGAAAATTTCACAGTTGCAAGAGCTCATGAGCCTCAGGATGACCTGTACTTAAACATGCTAAACATGGGGAGCCTGTAGATGTTTGTGTTATTTTGTTGTTGAATGGTGTGGTTACTTAGTGGAAATTTTTATACACTGAACCAGTCACTGCTAGTTCAGAAAAGGCAGGTTGTGGTCACGGTTTGTGATAAAAACAAGGACAGTTAAACCACAGCCTGCTGCATGTTCCACCACAATATACTTAAAAATGATAGCTAATGGAAATACCAACCAAATAAAAGTGCCTGAATAACATGTACACAGTACAGTAGTACTTTATATTCTACAAACAGTAGCTTAATTTATAGTGTGCCGAGGTACATTATTAAAGAGAATAAATCTTTACTGCAAGGATCAAGGGACTGTCTGAAGCCTATAGCAGGTATACTCCTGCTTCAACATCATAATGTTATTACACAAGGTTTACATCCTTTCAGACTTTAGATTACTTAGTTGTGAAGGCAAATATCCTCAAATGAACATTTTACATGCAAACACACACATGCAGTGCTATAGAAAATATGATGTGCCCAACCTGTTATGACCTCAGGTCTAACAACAGAAAAACTATTAGCTATGTTGAAGTAAAAGGCAAACAGTTATTCAGAAATGATCATGTACATATTTCACCCACTGCATACTCATTATAGAACAGAAAATGTTGATTGTAATACTATGAAAAATGAGGTCAGATTGTCTGAAGGAAAGCCTGTGGTATTTCTGATGCAATTCTTGATAAACAGCATTAGGATTCATGTTTGCCATTAACACAGTGGAGTTGAGCTGCTCACATAGAAAAGAAACGCTTTGGGACCCACAATGTCTTTTTGCTCTGTATTTGTACAGCACCAGGTGCAATTGATCCATTTTTAGGTATTACTGTATTATAAACAAACTAGAAAGCCATAATAAATTCAAATTTTATTGTCGAAACATAATTTCAAAGTACATATTATGAGTAACAATCCCAAGAACTCCACCACCCAAAGAAATGCCTTGCGCAAACTCTGGATGAAAATTATTCTGAAAAAATAAAATATTCTGACTGTTGAGAATTGGGGGAAAAGATGCTCTTTTTCACTTCAATTTTTCTTTCTAGCTAGTGACACGAGTCTACTGAAACTAGTGCTACCACCTTGTAAGCCACTTCAGAGTAAAGCAGTGCCATCTACAGTCATAGGAGGCTGGATGTTGTGCACTTGTTAAAATTAACAAATGGGGCAAGATATAAAGTGAGTATTGAAGGGTTATTTCAATTTTGGGGTAACCCATTAGAGAGCTCTTAAGGGTAGGTGTTCCACATTAAGTCCCAGGCTGATAACCTGAAAAAAAAAAATCACAGCAATGGGTTTAGTCTTCTTGATTTCTCTAGCTAAGACACTGAAGAAGAGAATAAAAACTGCCACGTTTACAGTGAAGAATAGTACCAGTCCCTCAACTTTTTTTTTTTTTGAAATCTTGGCTTACTGTAATATCTGATGAACAACTGCAACAGATGGACTTAAAAAGAATGTGATCCATAGTGCTTTGGTATTCATGCCAACATTTTCATCAATGGTGTTGAATTTACACTGGAAAATGATGCAGGGCAACATTAACAGTGATTTATATAAAATGTTGAGAACAAACAGCATAGAAAAGATTAAGTGAAGAAGAAATGACTGAAAATAAAAGGTGTTTTCTGTTCTTTGTACTAGACTGAAAATATTACTTGCGAATGTGAATGTTAAACTGTATTTAATGACTGGTTTATAAATGTGACCACCAGAAAGCAGGGCTTGGGATCACAAATCTTTCCAACATGTTACGTTATTCTTCATTCCCTCCTGCCCATGTAAACCTCATAATTTGTGAATAAACCTAACTTATGCAACACCCCCCCTTACCAAAACTGAGTCATGTCTATCCTCTGCAATGAAAACAAACCTGAACCAAAGGTTTATCAGAATAAATACTTCAAACACCTTCTATTTAAATAAACAGGATTCTCCTGTAGCATAGGCTGCTACACAAAGAATTAGATTCACCTAACACTAGACTGTATCACAGTGGGCAAAATTAAACCAACTTTTACATCTTTCCTATAAAATCTATGCAAGAACAAAAGTCAGTGTTAACTATTTGTTGCCAAACAAGTGGGAAGAGATAGCCTTCATCCAATAAGGGGGCAAACATATTAGAACAGGACATTGTCTTATTAATGTTTTGCTTTATTTTAGAAACAGTGCATATATCTATTTAAAAAAGAAAAATGAATGGAGTTAAAAAAGCAAAATGTAAAATTAGTGACAAAACTTTTAACAAAGTAAAATAATTTCATCTAGTGAATTCAATCATTAAATATATTTTCATCATATAGAAGTTTTACTTCAATATATTACAGGTCTACTAATTAGGTACACAAGCACAACACTTTCCATTAACTATCTAGTCATTAGAAGATCAACTTCAATAATCATTTGAATACATTATGGACGAGTACTTTTTTCATATCAGCCGTGAGGCAGCCTAATATACATGTGTGAACAAGATACAGGTTTGTGAGGTAACAGTACATGGGAATCACTCCCATTGCTTTCTAATTAATAAGTTCTTTTGTTAGCAGTTCCATCAGTAAGTTAATTACAGACACAGTCATTACAGTTTCAACATAATCACATTCCTGGCAACTTCTCATTTAGATTTTCACTCTGTAACAGATTAAACAAATCAAGATGAACAAATGGATAATTTGATCCAAGATGGCATCAGAGAAGGAATAGACTCAAAAGAAAAGAGCAACAGCTATTATTAGTAACATAAGCAGAAATAAGCTATGAAAAGAATCTCAAACTTCTAAGATGCATTCCTCACCAGTTTGAAATAAGGTAGTCATTTTTGGTACAAACAGTGCACAGGGCAGGACAAATCTAAAAACCAGAGAAATAATTCTGTTTCTCCAACAGGCAATTAACAAAAAAGGACCCTTGATATACAAATGAAATAACTTACACTGAATTTTAAAGACAGGATGACAAACACAGATTACAAACTGCAAAAATCAAACCCTCTCCAAACAATATTTTGCCCCTCTATTCTTCTATTAAAAAACCCCAACCTTTTGACTCTTCGCTTGAGATTCTAAACCCAACTAATGTCTCATCTTCTATCTTACCCCTCCCGTCATAGGGCGCTCTCCCTTTTTTCCCCTCAAAAGAGATCTTTTAACTCTGTGCCCATTTCCAACCTTCCTGGTGAGCAGCAGAAGGAATACCAGGGGTTCAACAGGTTTGCACACAGAGCTAACTCACTGCCCTTTACACTGCTCTATAAACAGTTCTTAGACCACAACCCAGTTAACTAATATGCCTTGACCTCATGAGTAACTAGCTCCAAGGCAGAAGACAGGGCTAGTCGGAGCTAACAGGAAGGTCATAATTGAGACCCTGAATAGCCTAAAAAAATTGCTGAACAGCATTTGCTAGCAGAGAGCACAACAAATAAAAACAGGACAGTTTCAAAATTGTTAACCCAGTGGAATTTTCAAGCTGTTTCTGGTCGTAAGGCCAACTTTCATCAGGCTGACAACCTCAACGCTAGTACAAACAACTGACTTTCTGCTGGATATACAACCCCTAGTTTGGAAACTGCCATATTAACTATTCACATAATGGCCAATTCCCAGTGTGCAAAGGGAATGAAATTAAAATGAAAAAATAATGTTACATGCAGGATGCATTTTCCCTAAAGCAGCACTTGCCTGCTATCTCATATTTGCTATACAACTGGTTTTTCACTATCCTGTTTTTCTTCAGATTCTTCATCAGATCCTGAATAGAAAGGAAAAAAAGGGAAATTATTTATTTTGTGAAAGTAGTGTCCAGGACCTTAAAATAAAGATGCTACTCAAACCTGCATAGGCATTTTTTTCCATTTTACTTTAGAATAGGTATCCCATTATTAGCCTTTACATTTTTAATAGTTCATAAAACACTAGCTGATTAATAATCACTACCTCCCATCCTTACCATGTCATGTTGAACATTAATAGTGTTTTAGACCAGGGGCGTCAACTGGGGGTACACGTACCCCTGTTTTATACCATCAGACCAAGCAAAAATGTAGTATGATCAGAACACAGTTGTGACCACTGTTGGGAATTTAACAACTTTTATACAAAAGTTAAATGATTTAACCAAGGCCAAAGGAGGAGTCAGTATCAAGAGCAAGACTGGAATTCAGGACACAGTCACATACTCAACTGACTGTACCATACACATTGATAATTACAGCATCTCAAACTACCAGACATTATCAGAAGAAGCATTCATGAAGAATCTAGCTCCTTGCCTCAATAGTGCAAATTCACTTGGCAGAAGCTTCTTTTGCCAGCACCACATAACTGCACGGTATGTATCTACAGAAGAATTTTCCAGGGGCTAAGAATTTATTCTGAATCCATTCCAGACTGAGATTAGCAATAGTTCTACACTGATGCATGGTTAAGGAGATTTTTTTTGTCACCTCAAATTAATGCTCATGAGTTTTCTGCAGAATACTTCTTTAATCACCTTCAAGTTAATTTGAAAAAAAAAAATCGTTAACAACATGAATGTTGGTGCCCACTGCTGGAAGCAGAAGACACAAGGCAATTTAAATCTCTAACATTTGCTTTCTTGGACATCTAGACTCTGCAGTCTAGTATGCACATCAGACCTTTTACATTTAATTTCAAGAAGTTTAAAATGAGGGAATGAGATCAATTTTAGAAGCTAATTAACTGGAGGTCTCTCTCACAATTAGTCTCATTTCAACATCCTCCACATAAACATTTCATTAGTGATCTTCTGCCTCCATTTCTGGATCTCATCTTTTTGCCTTTACTGTCAAGGCATGGCACACAACTGAGTAATGGTAAGGTAAAGACTCACAATGCATCAGCTGCTCTGTAGCAACTCCTGATGTACATGCTCTTACCCAGCAGTGTAACTTACTGTGAGCTGGCTTTCTTTTATGGTTATATGAGCACACACATGGGCAGCTGCAATACAGCAGCTGACATGCTAGAATTGTGAGCTGTCAGCATTGCTTGCATGTTCCTGCCCTAATATTCTGGCATGTACAAGTGAAATGATTCAGCTGGACATAGCACCTGAAGCTGAGGAAGAGATGCCCCTCAGCTCCCATGGGATGTCTCCCATGCCAATTAGTAAAAGGAAGTGCAGTCTGGGGCAGAGTTTCTCAACCCACGGGTCACAACCCTAAAGTAGGCCGCAAGAATATGAAAGGATCGTGAATAACTTTATAAATGGATCAACAAACTTTAAAAATGGATTCTCCTTTAAAGAACAAAAACATGGGAAATGGCGGCTTTTCCTTGCAGGCTGGCAGTTCCAGCCTGCAAGGGGCTGCTTGGGGCTCCCCAGACCCCACACCCCTCTGCCCCCCACCCCTTGCCCCCCACACTGGGGTCAGTAGGTCAGGAGTGGAAGACACTGGGTCAGGACTGGCCATCAACATTTATAAATGGGTCCTGGTACAAAAAAGGTTGAGATCTACTGATCTAGGGATTTGAGTAGCTCAGTCAATACCATAGTATCAGGAGAGGTAAATCTATTAGTGAAATGAAGGTAGCATGCAAGTCAGGTAAGGATCAGCATAGGAATCACTCATCTAGATGAGGATTTCTTTGCCCCTCCTTCATCCCTACACACCTGGCAATGCCCGTAGCTAGAAAGAAGTTTCTCAGCCTCCCATACAGCCCATGGGAGCATGCATCTTAGTTTTATTTTTTCCTGTGAGAACCTCACTTGATTGCAGCAACAAAAAAGCTGTTGATGATGAGAAGTGCCTGGGAAACTTTGGTTTTGTGCCAGCCAGTTTAAAGCCAGGCTGCAGACCTGGGACAAGAGTAGTGCTACATTTTTTCACATGAAATCTGTAGTAAAAAGTAAAACCCACAGGGTCTGGAGGATTTTGTTTCTTACCAAACTACAAACAAACCATGAGATTTTCTTGTTGCGTGGTGTAGCTTAACTGCCTCCTGAACGTTAAGGTTTAAATTATAAAATAACTGTAAAAAAAAAAAATCTAACTGTTATCAGGCTGGTTTTGCACCTGTTACAACCGTAATGGTTATGCAGCAATCTTTAGCCATTTACTGGAGACATAAGTACTGTAAATGAAGCTGGCCCATTCTACTCAAAATGGGCATTTTTTTTCTTTTTTGAATACATTAGTTTAAATTACATTCCATCTTCCAATAAAGCACCTTCTAAATAATATTTCCTATTTTTTAAATGTATTTATAAATGTTTTTCTGATCACCTCTGGATGTTTAAGTTCATTTTGGCATGGGAGAAATTGACTGCACAGGGAGAGGGTGAAGTGACTACACACAAAGCTGTAAAAAATGCACAGAGCAAACCGATAGGAAAAGACCCTGTACCTCACATACCTCTAGAGAGGTATTTATTCAAAACCTCCCTAAAGTGCTGTAGCTAAATATAAAAATGATGTTTAGCATGACCCTTGAATGGCATTTCTAAACTATACTGTATGGCTTCTCTATGAATTTACAATATATATCCAAGGATTTTAATTAAAATGTTTTCTTTTTTATATCCACAATCTTGTAGTCTTAAGTGCAAATGATCAGAAATACGATAAATCACCTAATGTTAACACCGGTGCTGCCTCTATTATTTCTGGATACACATCTATCTTAAATTCATGGCATCACTACAGGATGGATTATCGTCATCATTCATCATGGAACACATATGAATCCTGGTCTCCGATTCAGTTTTCTTTCTTCACAACACAGAATTTGACATTACATCCCTAACGTAGTTTCTATTCTCCTTGCGTTTTTTGCCAAAGATTAGGTTATATCTAGCAAATTACTTCTGCTAATATTCTTCAAAATCTGCTGAAAGCAAGATTAGACAAAAGATCACACTTAAAATATTTTCCAGTTTAAATTACTCAGAAAATATATTTTCAATCCATGCCTCTTCCAGTGACCATACCGTTATTTATAGTTTACAGCTACCCACGGGAAATATCACAACTTTATTTCAAAGCCAAGGAAGTTACAAAGTTATGGTAGCAGAAAACTGGTTTGTTCATGTTTTGAACTGTCATGATGCCTCTTATCACCACTTGACGGCAGTATAGGCAGACACATTTTTATTCTGCTATGATATTTTAGCAGACTCCTTTGCTTTACTTATTCTATTTATTACATTTTTACTGTAACAGCATTTCTTCTTAATTATCTCTACACTCTTGCTCCTCAATGATAGTGTAAGCTCATTTCCATATGATATGTAAACAGCACTGTTACTAATAGCCACATGGAGGAAAAAAAAAGTAATCACCAATACTGAGTAACAATGAAAACAGATTTGACCCTGTTTTTAAGTTGTCGCTTTACAAAGGGACTGCAATTTTGGCATTTAGATTGCTGTTTTTTACTATAGGTATTTTCACTGCACAAAAGGTTATTTGGTTTGTGTTGCCTAGCTGAATCTCTGCATACAGACCTCTCTCAGGAGCTGTAGTATCCAAGAACTTGGAAGCTAAAAGGAACACACATTAACAGCTAGGTGGAGCTGTTCAACTGGAGATGTCTCTTGAAGACTGTTTAGAAAGATGAAACAACATCTTCTTTTTAGTAAGGAATCCAATCTAACCTGGACTATATACTATTATCTCCAGGAATCCATAGCCAGAATTAAGATAGTTCAAAACATCCCCACTTCTACCATTTCTAACGGCAGATTTTAAGGTGTCATAAATGTGTGGACTGACTGTCAAAATACCTCTAGAGCTGTAGACTCCTTACCATGCCAAGAGAACACTTGGACCCTTTCATTCAAAGAACAGATGCAGATTTCCTTACTTCAGGAATATACCCACTGTACTACAACCAGATATGAGACCTTCCCCCACTATTGTTTCTCTACATACAGATACCCTGTCTAATTTAATAGTTTGGAATATACCCAGAGAATCACAAGAGATCCCAAGCGACAAGCATGGAAGAAGAGGACTGCCACAGAAAGGACCAGGAGGTAGCAAAGAGCAGGGCTGAGACGTTGCTAGCAAGTCTTAGCTAGCTATTTGCGCTTGTTAACAGTTAAAAGTGATCCAAATCCCTGGTTGACGAGCTCCTCTCAAGAAGCTAAGTGAGATAATTCTGGGGTTTTTTCTTCTGTAAGTGAACACCCCTAAGGACAAAGCTATGAAGGTCCCTAAATTAACTGTAAAGTCAGGAGCTGAATTAGTCTATAAAAAATACTGCCAACATGAGTCTTTAAAAGACAAACTAACAAGACATGACCTTGTCTCTAGTATTCTGCATATTATGTCAGCACTTTACCTGCCATCCTCAACATCCCTTTTTAAAATATGAAAATCTCAGCTGTATTGAGAGCAGTTCTCTTCTCCTAAAGTGACTAATCTGACATGTAGGGTTCAACATCTGTGTCTCAGAACTCCAAATGAAGCTGTCTGGGGCAAGTAAACTCTTCTTTTGATATGACTGTATAGGTATTTGTTTCTGGTTTGTGTCTTCCTACCTTGACCTGACCATGGTTTACTGAAGATAAAATTGACATTACCCTCAACAGAACTCAATTCCTTATATGTACCTGCAAAACTTTAAACAGAACTAAGTTTTCTAGTAACTGAAAAGCAAGAAAGGCCTCAGTCTCAAGTTATGATTTATGTTAAACTTGCTGTCCTTTGTTTCATCAATAGAAATGATGCCTCACGAGGCTCCATGACACTATGGATACAAGAACCAAGGGTCTCAACTCTACCACTAATTATTTTACATGGTTCTGTTGAGTTTCCTATCTGAATGCTAAGCTTGTGTAACTAAACATAGTTAAGAATCATATCTGTATAAAAGATTTTATTTCCGTCTCTTCGCAAGAAGAGGGAATCCCATAATTAATGTCCGACTGACTTGTGAAGTATTTTAAAACGTATTTTCATATTTTTATATGGTGAAAAATATATTTAAAGGTGATTTTGGGGGGCAATGGATAAGTCTCAGATTTCTGCAGTGTTATACTACTGTACAGGTTTTCACTTGCAGATATCTTTTTAGGTGCCACATAAGTAGGATTAAGAAAGAAGTCTGAGTTACAAATGGGTGAAACACATCAAAAGACGGATAAAGACTATGTTCTCTGCAGCAAAAGCAAAAAAAATAACCTTTCTTGACATACAAGGTTAAATACCATCCGTGTTAAGAACAAGCCAAACGAAATTAATACCAGTAGACAGTACTACCAGCATAAAAATTCAGAGCATAATTACCTGCTACAGATTCAGGTGGTGAATAAAACTGCCCATCAGACAGAAGTCCACGCTGAAGAAGAGCTGCTCGCTCAGAGGCATCTTGGGCCAACAACAGCCCTAAAAAAAAAAAAGCCCCAATAAAAACAAACATCGCTATTACCTCTTAGTGTCTTAAATTCAGATTGACATTACCAAGATATTTCTATGCCAATCTCTGTAAACTGGGCTACTATAACAGTTAACCCTCTACAAAACACTTCATGATAACTAATACCACAATGGAAGACATCAAGCTAAAAACCAGAACTCTCCAGTCAGCTACTGAGAAGTCATATATATTATTTGAGTACTTTTCTTATTCTACGGTATAAAATGTTCACTCCATTTGGCGATACCATAACTATCCTAAGCAACGCCTAGTTTGGGGAACAAATTTAAGTCTTAGTGTAGGAAGTACCAATGGGCTTGTTACTGAAGCAACACTGCTACTTGTTTCACATACACTTACACAAGCCTCAAATCACAAGCTCTTGAAGAGATAATAGGACTTTAAATCCATTACCGTAGCAAAGCAGGGATGCTCCGTATGGTTGTATTTGATACTTAGATTCTCATGTCCATACTTTATCCTCTGTCCTAAAGAAACTGTCCCGGATTTCTCTCTCTCTCTTTTTTTTTTTTTTTTTTTAAGTTTTGCTGTCACTGAAACTATACAACATATGGAAGTGACTAACACAGACCGTAATAATGGCAAACTGTGTAATCGGAGTTGAATCACCTAATTTTCCATCTCAGCCACCCATTTCCAGACAGCAATTTTGCCTTGCTACTCAGCGCTCTAGAAGGCGACAACCAGAAGACACCAAACATTAGTGGTAAGAGGATAAATTGCAACCGTAATAAATTTTCACAAGGGAAATCTACAGGAAAATAAAAACAAAGATGGAGAGGAATTACAAATGAGGCAAGGAATGTTTAAAGCTCATTCAATGTGTAAACCTCCAAAAGTAAGCAACTCTACAATCGGGAAGGACGTAGTACATGGGCTCTGTCTGTACTCAGACATATGACTGATCTGAAAGCCTTGCAAGGACGCAGCTTGCATTAAATGTTTCAGGATTTTTCTCCAATGGGGTAGAAGGGAGGAGGGAAAACATGTCTCTGAATAGGATCAAAGCAATTTTATCTAAATGGTTAGTTCACTGGTGCATACACATGTATGTACATGTTCCTAAGGAAAAAAAAATGAGAAGAGCTTCGCTTTAAGTTAAAAAACTATTTCTCCATGCAACACATTATATATAAAAAGAAATCACATTACTAGATCTGGAATTATGGAGATTTAATCTACACAGTCACAAACAGCTGCTATTATAGCTAGATAATATCAACAATGAGTTATTGCAACTATAAATATTGGAATAAAGACTGAGGGAGCATCCTTAATTGGATGCCATTACACGTACAGTAAGAGAGCCTGTTGAACCATCTCAAGTAACTGCAAAACAGTGTGCTACATGACAGCAGGCAGTGTTTTCTCTGAAAAACATCAGTAGCTCAAATAACAGCCCATTAGACTTTGAAGCAAAAGAGTCCTTTAGAAACCTCTATAAACTTCATTACTGAACAACACAAAAGATTTCTACACCTCCCTGCCTGTCATCTGACACCACTGGGGAAGAAATCCTGTTTGAGCTACACAACAAAAAGCAAGCTCACAAAAAACTCTCATGGACCCAGAGGGACAGTTTGCCAGCTTCTGCTTCCTCTGTGCAAAAATGAAGTTTATTTCCTACATATGGGGACTTTTTACCATCTTGAACTTTCCCTGAGCCTGATGAAGGGCACATGAGCCTGAAAGCTTGCAGAAAAAAGATTTTTGGGTTTGTCTGTTTTTTGCAATTTCCCAGTTGGTCTAATAAAAAAGGTGGTATTTTGGAACCAAGAGTTCTAGATTTTCGCATTTCTTCAGAAATCTAGGCATTAACTATCTGTTTCAACCCACCAATACTGAAAATAAAATCTTTTGTTTTTACAGTAATTTTTAACCACCTGATATGTGAAACCTACATGGTTTTCAGGTCAAGTTTTTTCTTGACTTATGAATATTCAATGTAAAAATGCACTAAAAAGAACTGGGCTGCTAATGTAAAAGTTTCTGGTTTTGAGTTCAGTGGATTGTTTCCTTGTTTATTTTTGAAGCTGCAAAAAGTATCAGCAACTCATAGAAAACTTTCTTTGTATTACAAATTTCTTGTCTCTTCCTCATACAGAATAAAAGAAAAGTTATGAAAAATTGTTAAAATTTCTTCTTAAAAAAGCAAAATCAAAACCAAAATCAGATCCACTAATTTAATAATAACGTTTTGGATAAGATTTCTACATACAAAAAGGTAGCGGTGGGGGGAGTGTCAGATTTGGTGTTCCAGAGTGATGTCATTTGGTAAGCAGTACCTAGGTTCCATTGATGCCATTATTAGGATTTATTGATCTAGCAAGTAAACGTTCCCTTAAGATGTTAACTATTTTAGACCAAACTATCTTGTAATGCAAACATGGAACACTCAGTATAACCTGCCTCAACCCCAAAAAATTAAAACCAGAAAGTTCCCTAGCAAAAACATCTACTCACCCCCCACCCTACCTTATGCAATCAATTAGTGTTTTGCTTCATCAGAACAATCAATACTACTCTTCTGCCAGTGAAGGTACCAGAGAAAATGAAGTCAACAGTAGTAACTACAGGTTTCCCTTGTTTTATGTGGGTTCTGTATGTGCAAATTTGCTCTTATGCAATGACCCTTTTTATACCAACAGTGTGTTATACATGAGTTAAATTCATTCTTATGTGATTGGTGTGGTAGAAGCCTGCAGTCAGCTGCTTTATGCGGTGCACTGTGGGAGTGATGCACACCAAAATATAGTCTGTGTGGATCTGCGCTCTTCGCTCATTATCTGAGACAAGTTTCTGTAGTTGCCATCCCCATTCTGGTAACATTCACCACCATCCTGTGCTTGTGTGTACTGTTGGCTGTTGTAGAATACCAAAACTGTCTTGTAAAAGTGGTAGAAATGGGTCTGGGGGTCAGTACAGTTGAGGTCTTGGAATATCCCTATTTGTTACATTATAAAGTGGGTTTCCTTTATGCGAATGCAAATTATGCGCTGTTTTCCAGGAACCCATGTACAGCATAAAGCAAGAGAAACCTGTATTAGAAATTAAACTTACTGTTTTCTTCTTCTGCTTCTTGTGGCAATACTTTAAAATCCAGGAACCACGTTTCTATCCAGGCAAGTATGAAGGATATGATGGGCAGCACATAGCCAAAAGCACCTTGAGAGAACAGCTTGGGAAAAAACAAACACAGTTTTACAGAATCCCATTCTAAAAAAAAATAGAATGTCTCATCAATTTAGATCTGAATATATACCTTTGAGAGAATTACTTTTGCTAGTAAAAAGGCACTGGTCACTGCTGTTGTAAACTGAAAGAAAAAAAAGACAGAACATTAAAACTGAAATATCAACTGGAGATTTACTTTTTCAGCTATGACATGGTATAATTCTTTATTGATCAACAGAGGTACAGAATCCAAATCTCATTAAAATTTGCCCAACACTTAGGAAAAACATAGTTTCTCTCTTCATCCCAGCCTTACTAATGGTACTAACTCAAATCTGATCATCTAGTGAGGACAATTCCCCTGAATTTGGATACCTTCAAACCTGGGAGTACTTGTTTGCTTTCATAGAGCAGAGAACAAAGTTTAGAAACTGCACATATAGTGACTGTTTATATGTTCAGATATAATTCCCTGTTTGTCATGCAATTTTTACACAGACACACTTCAGAACAAAAATGCAATCCTTTCATTGACTTTCCAAAACCCATTTCAATGAGATACTACTATGTTTAATATTAAAAGCTTTATTTTAGAAGGCGAGAGGGCTGATAGTTGAAATTGGAAGAGAAAACATTTTTGTATAAAATTAGTGATCATGAAAGTGATGTGTTAACAGCATTCATTTGAGCTGGGCATATTGCAAGAGATGCTTTGCCTGCAGATGACCAAGTATTTCTTTCCTGCAAATGACCAAGTGATACTAAATTGTATAAACCTGTGGTTTTCTGAAAACACACAAGTGGGATATAACATACAATTAATATTTGTTTTGGAAAAGCTCCCAAATGATTTTTTTTGGTCCCCAAAAAAGGGATCAAGTGAGGGATACACCAATGAGGAACAAAACCTTGGTACCACATAGTCCCATAAATAAAAGTTAGCTATATTTCATTTGCTTGACATATTCTAACGCTACACATAATTAGAAGCAGCAAGAGGATTTTGAGATGCACTCATTTTAGGATGGGGGGTCGGCAGGAAGGGAAAACAACCAGCTTCTCAAATGTAGCTGCATTTGTTATTGGGTTTATGGAGTAAGCTGGCAATACACTTTTACTGAGCCAAGGTACTGGGTAGGGCTCAGAGTCAGCTTACTGTAAAACACTGCACATTCATGGTTTGAAAACATTTTATATAGAACAGCCACATTTGCTTCACTCTACTCCTAGCACAATGCAAGGGAAAAATCATTTCTTGGATAAGCAGCACAGTGAGTCAGCAGTATGCGCATTATTATATTATAGCCTGAAGTATCAACTGTAATCCACCATGTGGGTGGAAGAATAAGTCAGAGCAATTAAACAGTGTTAAACTTCCCCCCTCCTGTTCAGCTACAGAAATAGCTACAGTAGAGATTACTGCTCCAAACCACTGGGGAAAAAAATCACTGTCTTATGACTGTCAAGCATAAAGCAAGATGGGTACAGCTGCAGATATCTAAAATCTGAGTAAGGTAGTAGCGAAAACAATAGGCGATTTCTGGAGTTTATTACTGCTTTTGTAATTTGCAGGTATAAGTACTAACTTTTGTCTTGATAAACTGTTTCCTTTCCTCCTTCATACTTCCTATTTTCAACTGCTGAGTTGGGGAGCAGGGTTTTCAAAAGCTTGTTTTACAGGAAACAAATCTGGTGTAATAAGGGGCTATGAAGTGACAGAGCTGGCACAACAGCAACTGGTGATAGCAATATAAGGGGGAAAAAAAGTCAGCCTACTCCTTTCATTTGCATATCAAGAAGGAATTTGGAGTTATGATTCCGCAAGAAGCATAAATGGTTCTTCTGAAACCATCACTGTACTCCTACTAGTGAGCTCCCAACAAGAACAATACCCTACTGCCCCCATAACACTTGTCTGTGTACCTGAAAAATCTTCCAGACTCAGACACCTTTCTTTGGCAAGTGACCATTGTGTACTGACTTAATTATAGTAAAGCATCCAGCTGATTCGTAACAAGCAAACATTTGGAGGCATCTAGAATTTGTCTACATTTGACCCACTTCTGGTTAAAACTCAGTTATGCTTGTCTACTACTCACAGCTATTGCCCACCAATGGCGCAGTCTGCACATTGCATATGCAAGTATTAACACCTTAAACCGAAAGACTGCCAGTAGCTATAGAGAAAGGAAAAAAATATTGGTTGGTTAATTCATAACATATAGAAAACACACAAGATTCAGCTGTCCAAATATATTGAATATACTACAACCCAGTAAGTTAATTTTTAGGAAAAATATTGAACAGTCTGGCTTTGCAAATGGCAAAACACAGCATTGAATGGATCTATTCATATGCTTAAATGCTTATGTAAGTATATGAAACATTGCTCGTATAAATTAAATCAGAGCACTATACAGGTAGACTTACGCTTACATACGTCTCTGCAAGTTGGGGACCACAATGGTAGCTATATGTAGTTAACTTACTCAAAATCTAACTGGGTAAGTACAATTTAAAATTGCTAACAGTACAGATGGCAAAGGAAGGAAGGAAGAAACATGTTTATACAAATATTTCTGCACTTATAAAGAACGTAAGAAGTTTGCTGAAATATTCATGTCTTATAAGTATGCATATACTGCACTGTCATTGATCACCCCTTTATGAGTATATGTGCAAATCTGATTCAATATATTCTTGTTGTCAGAAAGAGTATTGTACCCATTTGAAGAATGATAAGTAATTCTTCCAGCACTCCTTGAAGGCAGATAGTTATGCACAGCTCATAACTAAAAATTTGAGGCAGAGAGTTTACAGGACTTGCCCATAGCCAAAGAATGAGCCAGGGGCAAAGGAATGGTTAGAATTCTAAATTAAGAGAGCCACTGCATTCATTTCTGTACTCATTCCCCAGAACAACTATGCTAGGTCTGGCATCTTCTGTTAAAATGAGTTCACAAAAGAAAAATTCACAAAATGTGAAGTAAGCAAACAGTTAAGTTTGAGAGAAATGTCTTTCATTTGACCAACAGTCAAGAATCATCAAAAATGAAAATTGTTAGTTTTGTGTTTTCAGAGCTATTTTTAAATATGTATCTGCGTAAGATTGCTGACGTTCATGCTAGAAGCAGAAATGTTACGTTATAAGCTAATTACTGGACTTGAGTAAATTTATTAGCACCCAAAGTTTCCCAATCTATACACATATATAATTCTACATCAGCAAATCTAACTATAAGCTAGACTAATTTAAGCTGAACAAGGAGGTCTTTTAGTTTTCTGGAACTAAAGATATTGCAATGAGTTGTTGAAAGAAGTATGATAGAACAATGTGGCTTTCTGGCAAAAACTTGTCACCCCTCCCTGAAGGCATAGAAACCAGCTACAGTGTGGAAAAGGTGGCAAATTTCTATACCAGTTCCACATCAGGCAATTCAATGTATCAAAGGATTGCTGCAGCAGCAATTTCTCTCTCCAGGCTAGCAAGACATAAAAGCTCCATAAAAGGATTAGGGGCCCGGGAAAAGGACAAGCACATCCTGCAAAGAACACAGGCCCCAAACCACAAAACGACACATTCACATACTGAGATCTGCAAAATTCTTGCAATTAAGAATGTCATCTCCATTGTCCCCCTCTAACCTGGCCACAAAGCTACAATCTCATGAAAAATCAGAGAAAAATAAGTTTCCCCACTTAATACATGCATCCCAATTTTAGAATAGCAATTTTGCTGGGAAAAGATGCATGTGGTACATAAGAAAACATGTTAAGTATCAGAACTGCTGCTTTACCTTCCACTCTGTTCAATGGGCCTGTATACAAGTATGTAGGTAGAAGCAGGATCATTATACTTTAAGCAAGCCATATTTTAATGTATCATAAATCTAATTTTTTAGGAAAGTTTAGAGAGACCCATTTAAGCTGAAATGGGTAAATCTACAGCAAACTTTACCCCTGCAGATATACATTATTCTGCATGCCACCTATCCCTCACTATCAACCATCTATTTCACTGGCATGTACCAATATAAGAATATAAAACGTAACCGAAATTACTGGAGCACATGTTCCTCTGGCTTAAATTATAAGAGAATCTAGTGCTTACACAGTAGCCAGATTAGGGTATAACAAATGCTAAGATGTCTTGGGGGCAGGGGAGGGGAATATCCACACTTTTGCTATTTTTCAATAAACTGTGAAACAGCAAAACACTTACAAATATATCAAAATATGAAGAATAGTAGTCATATTGCAGGACTTCCTTCTCTAAAGTAGTCTCAATGCCCCCATTTACCTAGAAAGGAAAAAAAATACATCATTTATAACTTTAAATTGGAAAATTATTGAAATTCAAATGCTTGCATAAAGTTACTGACAGGATTAGACTCCTCAGAATAGATTCAAAACAGCCAACTGGCTGAGCAGGAAGCAGCCTAACATCAGTATGTAACAACCAAGAGCTAGGTCAACAGGAAACAATAAGGGGGCAGGGATGAGATTGAAATTCTACCTCTCCTGGGACCTCAGTGATCTTTACTCAGGGCTTCAAAACAAATATCTCCATGCATTCAGGACCCATAGCATGAGTAGTATTCAATTTTTTCTTCTAAAAGATAGAGGAGATGATGGCTGTGGTTGTCTGCCTCTTTATGAAAAAACCGACTGGTTAGAGCACTCCCCTGGGATATGGAACATCAAGCTGACATTCTCTTTTCTGCTCAAGGATAAACCCACATGTTACAATTCCCAGGAGAGTGTCTTAACCACCGGACTAATAAGCTATTCTGGTTATGGGCACTATCCACTCCTAATGAAGCAGTATTACCCTGCAGAAAATAATCTGGGATTCACTGGGTAAGGAATAACTAGTACTGTACTGTAGCTAAGCAGCTAAGGCATTCACTAGGAGTAGGAGTCTTGTTTGCCATACCCTGTTTCCAGGATTATTTCTCGATTTTGACTTTCAACTGTGTAAAAAAAGCCCACACAATGCATTAAGAAACTATGGGAACAAGTGTGATAAATAAAATGAGCGTTTCTGAATGGTTTGCTTTTGCCAATTGAATATAAAATATCAGTTATTTAACATAGCTGCTCACTGATGGCACAAAAAAATTTGAAGATATTTTTGTGGAATTTGTAAAAGCATTTACATGGTACTAGAAGCAATGAAACCACGCAAGCTCCCTTCATTAGCAGCTTGTTCCACATCTTCTGTACTGCTATATAATTATCAAGCGCAAAACTTGTAAAATGGTGGATAAAACATAATTTTAAAGACTGAAATACAGAACCTAGGTTTCTATATCTACTTATTTCACACTATGCCCTGAATGGCACCATAGCTACGAAGGGAGACGCTTCAAATTGTATTACTGATGGATTTTTCCTTTAAAAACCATGGTAGGATTAACCATGCAGTTGTTGCACTTCCAACATGAGCACTGGAATAGTATTAATTAAAAAATCAACCAAACAAAAACATTCCTGAAGAAAGACTAAAAGCCTGCACTATTTATCTTTTTCCAATTAGAACAGTACTTTAGTTCCATTAACTGAGTGGCTTCCTCGCCCTGGTCTGATTATATTTCCATCCAAAATCCAGTCTAAGCCTTCTTAGTTAATGGTTTCTTTCTCCAAATTCAGCCTAAGAGAGTGTCGCTTCTCTTTAGAGATGTACTCTTACAAACCTCTTCAAATGACTTGTACACCCAAGCTGTAATGCAAGTAAAAAAAGATTCTTCTAAAACAAGTTGAATCACTGAACAGGATAAGATGTTTAGACAGCCAGTCAGTTTATCACTGCTACTGTTGTATCAAGTATTTTAGTTGTTTATTTGCAAAGGGAAGAACAACTTGATAGGAATTAAACTATGTGATTTTAGCATACACCCTTTACAGAACTTCATTGGAAACCAAAGTAACCAATGAAGATTCAAACTTGATCTGATTCCAGTATAAATATTTAGAACCTTTAGCTTCAGTCTGATGGGCAAGAGAAAAAAAAAACAACTGTATTTACGCAATATCAATCACACAATCCCTATTAGAATTAATATGAGAGTTAGTCCATTTAAAGAAAAGAACATGCATCAAAACTGCAAAGTTTGGATAGACCTGCAAAAATGTGCTGCATGCATTCAAGAATCTAACACAAGCTTACAAATGGCCATTATTTGTTGTTACAAATCTGAATTAGCTGTCACATTGAGATATACCTGTATAACTTGCACGATTACTTTAGTTTCATGCCATCAAAAATAGAAATAGGCAACATGGCTTTAAAAATTCAACACTGGACTAGATTTCACATTCTCCATAGTGAAAAACACCAATTTCTGATCATCTAAATGGACCCTGTGATGGTCTTTGGGGGAATAAGAGTTTTTCATAAGACCAAAATGACATGGCTGCTGAATCCTGGATACTTGACAACTGGAAACTGACCAGTTTGGATTCTTACCTGAACTATTCAGCAGCCACAGTAATGTTGTCACAAAGCCAAAGTGAAGTTCAATGAAAAGGCATTTCTGTTATAACTCCTTAACCCTTAAGTGCTACAGTCTGAATCACAAAGGTGGTGGCAGATTTGATATGAACACGGGACACAGGCACAGAATCAGAATTAAGGTGCAAAGAGTATACAGAGAACAAGCAGCAGCAGAAGGTGAAGGCCAGAACTAAGAACACAGGACATTTTAAACAGTCCCTGATAATATATCAAGAACAAACCCTCCTAAGGCATATACAATCATTTCCACGTCAAGGACTAACTATGCACCGACACAATATACTTTGGCATCTCTGCTTCCTTCTCCCAACTCTACCTTCGAAATATTCCGCTAACCTCAAAAATAAACTGTCAAAAATCCTTCTGCCTTCTCCTTTTACCTACCTGCTAGGTCTACAAAACAAATAGCTTTTAAAGTGTCACCCTGCCCTACTTTCTGCCTGACTGCTAACACAGCAAATCACTTTTACCAAAGCATGCTGATATACAATGTCAATGCATGGTCAATACTTGAGACTTCACATCTAAGATCAACTCCATATCTTTAAAAAGCAGTCCTGAAAACATTGTCATTTTTTTTAAATAATCATAATTTTAATATACTTTCAGGCTGTAATTTAACATCTATGTCTGTGGATACCTACAAATCCCAGATTAGCCAGAACTTCAATTACATCATCACGTTACTTTTGTTTATGCTTTCCCATAGACATTTCTGAAAGATCTTTTTCCAAATTACAAAAAGCCAGACCCCCAAAATGTGAGAAACATACGGCAATTTTATAACTTCAAGTTGTTGCTTAATCCAACCCACCAGACTGCATATTAATATATCTATTCAAAAGCATTCTTAAGTTTACCGAATAAAACTTGGAACAAGGGAAAAAAAAATACTACCCGAAAAGCAAAACTGACAGGAAGACAACCTTCACAAGATGCTATTCCCATTAGAGAAACAAAGTAAGTATTGGGTGTTCTTAGCCACGTGGTAACAAAACTGAAGTGTTGTTAGAAATGAGCTAACAGTATGAACGAAACATTCACTCTTGCAACCAAGGACAGTAGTCACTGCTAAAGTAATCTTGAAAAGTTTGAAAGCCAGACTCACGTTTAACTCTATTATCCACAGTAAGGTTACGAACAAGAGGTCAAATGTAACAAACAAACAGAAAGTCCTTCTGACATCAGATATGCCTTTCTTCTCTCTGCCTTCGTACGATTCGATCCTTGCCATCAGCTGCGTTGGGTTGATAGTATGCACATCCCGCAAAGAAGGACAAGAGCCCAGACTGCTACTATGGGCATTTTCTGCATCACCTGGCAGTCTATTCATCCTGGGTTTGGTTAGAGTAGCCTTCTTCCAGCTTCACCATCACTAGAAGGCTGATCCATATAGGAAGATTCTTTAAAAAGAAAAAAAAAAAAAGTCACAAAATGTTAGGTCACAGCAAACTCAATGCTACTATACAAACTTCATCTAGTCCAATTTGAATTATTTTTTATAATCCAACAGTTAAGTGTCTTTGGAAGATGGATGTTGAAAAGTGCATCTAAGGTATTGCATAGACACTCCCTCTTGTTGTTCTCCTAAAATTTCCCTACAAAACAGATCAATACATAACTAGCCTCAGCTGTATCTCAAGGTACATGACCTAGAGTCTGTAGGTTCCCAACTCAGAGCCACTGGGCAAGTCACTGCACCGTCTTGGCATCCCTGATTGCAAAACTGGACTCACCACCTGCTGTTTCAAGAACACTCCATAGATTACTTAACTTACATCTGTACAGTACTTAAAACACAGAAAGCACTCCAATGATGAAGAGTAGATTTTCCTTGCTGGGCCTTTCATCATTTTCATTGTTGTGTTGCAGAAATAATTATTTGATTTTCAGCAAATACCAGTAAAAAAAAGTATTACACAGTAAGTCAAAGAGCTCAGGATGCTAGGAAACAAAAGATGGGCTCACTTGGCAATCTGGTCTACACAGGAAGTTTCACTGGTTCATATTAAGGTGTGATATTGAACTGAACTAGCTAAACAAGCATAGACATGCACACAAGGTTAGCTAAATTGCAGCAAAATCAAAGTTTAATTTATATCAGTGTGACAAGTCCTAAAAGAGAAGAGGCCTCCTTAGTTCAGCGTTTTAAAGGTGGCAGGGTATCCGGGTCCGCTCACCAGGAATTACATTGATAGAAGCCTGCCTCAGTTGGGACTGGTATAAGAATCAGCTGAAAAGTCACAAAACTACTGAACAGCGCACTAATAAGTAATCTGTTCCACAGAGTGAATATATTAATAAGATAAACAAGACCTGCAGTTTCTGCCAGCTCGTGTTGCTATCAAGGGGCACATCCAGACAAGCATGCACGCATGGTATGTGGCACAACAGACTGCAACTTGCACGCACCGCACATGCAGACATTCACCACGCTGCATGGGTGGTGCGTGCAGGTTGCAGTCTGTTTGCAGTCTTAATTTGCAGCATGGCAAAGGTTTTTTGTTACCAGGAGATCTCAGTGTAAAAAAACCAAACAAACCCATGCCTAAAACATACATGTGCACTTGTCCAGACACACCCACAGTCTTTGTGAAAATATAATACACAGAACTCAGGGATAAAGTGCAGCTGCCTACAGTGGCCCAAATGCAAGGCTGTTAGCTGTTACGTTTGAGTACTGAGTGAGCTCAAGTGACAGTACTTCCAATTCTCACTTGCTACGGCTCAGCAACCTCTTTCCAGTAAAGCTCCCACAAGTGCAGAAAGTCATACAGGTATCAGATGAGTTGTAAAATTATTCTAATTTTGTCCTATTACATTTATACAAATGCATTATATTTATACCCGAACAACTTTTGCAACTGAACATTCACAGATTCATAGAAGTTAGGGGCTGGATGGGACCATACAAGATGATCAGATCAAGCCCCCCTGCACTTGGGCAGGAAAGACTGCTGGGGTCAGATGACCCCAGCAAGGTGGGCATCAAGATTTTTTTTTTTTTACCTAACTTTAAAATAAAATACTTGTAGCAACCTTGCCCAATACTAAGTATACTCTCTAACAAAATCTTAGTTTTTTTGTTTTTTTGGGTTTTTTTACTGTCAAGACCAAGTTCTAGCGAGCCTTACTTTCACAGAGCTAAATCTTTGCACACCTCGGGTCTAAGACAACTGCAACATCAATCCCAACAAAGTAAAAAATAAAAAAAAAAAATTAACAGGTCAAGGAAAAAAGTGGGAGATGGGGAGGGAATAATCCACGATCCCCATGAGAATTTCTCACCAGCTACACAAAAGCAAAGCAAACTGGGAATTATAACATGTTATTATACAAACTTTTAGATATAAGGATGGGGAGAAAGAAAGGCAGATAGTAACAATATCTAAAAGCTCATAAGACACCTAGACTCTCACTGCATTTAAGAAGATTTCTAAAACATGTGCTGAGGTCTAGGTTAGAAGGAGTTTAAAAACAGACAATATGGAGAATCAGGGGAGGAAAGAGAGCTTAATTCAGTCAGTTTCATCTCCAGAAAAAATGAGACAAGTCCAATACATTCTCTGTCCTATTAATGTTTACAGGAATTTAAAAATCAATGTTTATTCACTACCTCCTCTACTTACTCACCTATTCATGTAACTTTCAGGGGTCAGAATTCACACATCACTATCTTCCCAATTAAGTACAACTCTTTAAGTACAATAATATTTGCTCCTTACCCTTCCTCATCCAATTCATGCTCAAATTATTAGAGAGTTTATAAGCTCTTCAAGCTAAGTAGTCAGGCTCAAAGACTTAATACAAGTAAAGAAAATCTATACCAGGCTTCTTTATCAACATTTTGAAGTATTTTCTAAAGCAGGGCTGTCCAGCTGGCAGCC